ACTAAAATTTGAGTTATGACAGATATGTTATTCGTGACCTCGCTAGTGGGGGAGGTTACAAACGCTAGCACATGTTGACATGTAGTGATAGAGCCGGTTCGTTCAACCCTGCTAGTGGGGGTTATACACCAGCAAATCGTGTGCTCGCCAGTGGGAGGTTTATAAACGATGGCTGTGACCTATAGAGGAGACGTTTATTTCGTGCTCGTACTGTATCTGTTTTCGTGATTGCACTTGTTGGCATGCTATAAGTTTAAGTTTGATAAGGGGCACTCCATATTTTACTTACTGAGTTTATCTCATAGTTTTTCTTTGTCCACCATTTCAGGAAGTGAAACCGAGGACGGGGAAACCACGGGAAGTGATGAGTTAGAAAGCTAGCCATTTCGAGATTGACATAGATTTAGAAATAAATCATGATCTGTAAGCTAGAGTGTATTGGGAGATTTTATGATATCAGAGAATTTTAAAGATTTGATCTTCAGATTTGATGGTATCAGATTGTGATTTGATTAAGTTCCGAGCCTTGTGCATTTGTAGGACCCGTCTCACGAGTGCACGGTGTCTGTCGCGTCTCGAAATCGAGTTTTGGGGTGTGACAGATTTTGTGGTATCAGAGCTTGGTTTAAATTAAGAGTTTAGGTTGAAATTAAGAGCTTAAGATTAAATTAAGCACCTCCAGATTGAGTGGCATTAGAGCAGATTGAGTGATATCCGAGCCTAGGTTTAATTGAATACCTAGGATTTGTTTTGGACTTGGCTAGCCAGTGGATTTTAGTACCGTGGTGAGACGAGTGATGGGGTTATATAAGGGACAATTCTGATTCATGTTGCCTGAATTTTCTCATCCATTTCGATGAGATGGTGATCTGATTGTTCTTGTTTCTTGCCTTCATACTCTGTGTGAAGTTGTGAAAGTAATCTTGCCCGTTATGTCCTTAAGACCTTGTTTTGAAACTTGGTCATTTTCTGATAGTCCGCACTTGTTTAGGCTTGTTACGTGAATAGAATTTTTGTATGCTCTTTTGCTGCCATTGTAAATCTGGGGAGTTGCGGAGATCTTTTGTTATTGATCCTGTTGGTCTCTACAGCATAGCTAGTTGGGAAATTTGTTCTGTTTGTCACATGATCAGTGGAAGTTAGGCAACCCTCTACTTTGTAAGAGATTCAAGGCCATTTAGCAAATGTTGTGTGTTTTCTAGCTGTGTTTTAGGAGCTGGATAACTTGGTAATTCCGTTGCTCCTTATCTTCTGAAAGTGTTATAGTGAAGTTTCACTTTTTCCAGTTGGAGCTTCGTGGTCTTTTCATGTGGCTCATTTTTCTATATTGGTTAATCAAGAGCAGTGATCAATTCAATTGAAATTGTTGCCTTTTTGTGAAGATTGGCAAGCTATCATAAAATTAAACTCTCTATTGTTGCCAATCTCTACATTCTTGATACTTGGAAATTGCTTAAAACTCCTAAAATCCGTCTTGAATCTTTCTTGATATTGCTTTGTACTTGTTCTTGAAACTGAAGTCCAGAAATGGATAATGATTATTGGAATCCTCATTATCTTGATTCTTGTCTGAAATTAATTCTTGTTGGAATTCTACTCTTGAAAATTGACTGATATTGTTCTTGGAATCTATTCTTGAAAATCAGTTGATATTTGGTTTTTGGAATCTAGTTGAGTTGTCCTTGAAAACGTTCTTGTTCTGACATCGGTTCTTGTCCAAATTCTGTATACTGCTCTTGTTCAAATCCTGCATATTCTGCTAGTTCTTGTTTTGGTATACCTGTTGACCTTCTTGATTTTCTTGATTTTTGATTTTGTTCATATGGACACCTCTTTAGGAGGGGTGACGATTATCAAAAGATACCTATATGAGGTATTCCAAATTCTTATCTCTTGCAAGTGTTGAATTCTGTATTCTTGATGCCTTAGCTTTGACTTGACTCTAGGATGTCTAGGCTAAGCAGATTGTAGCCTCCATGAGCTACGAGGTGAAGGGGTAGTCTTTAAAGTGCCTGATGCCTTAGAGTTTTGTTCCAAGAGAAATGGTTCTTTGTCTGACTGCCTTGATTTTTGTTTGCCCTTTTAATTAGAAGACAGTAATCTTCTAAGTGTCTTGATCCCAGCCATTGCTTTGTTCTGTTAATTAATTCTAGTACTTGAGGTGCTAGATCTCGACATCCTGGTTATATCTGTTCTTGAATTCGTGTTCTGGTTGTCATTATTGTTATTTCATGGTTAAGTCTTGTTTTTCAATTTTGACTTCTTGGTTACATTTGATCTTGATTCTTGGTGAATGCCATTTTGTGTTGAATTTTTGAGGCATTCTACCTTGCACTCTTATGTTCCAGTATTCTTCCAAGCATTCATATTTTCCATTGATTTTATTCTGTTGCAATTCTTGAGATTTTTACATGTCTTTTTATGGTCCTAGCTTTTAACTCTTGTTAATTGCTAAAATATGCCTCTTGATTCCAATTGCTTGTTAAACATGATCTTATTTATTGGTTACCCTTGTTTTGTGGCAGAATTAAGGCATCCATGCACTTGTTCATTCATTCATGATCCATATATCCATTGGATGCTTATCCGTCTTTGATAGAGTTCAAAGTTTTGTTGTACTCATCTGTAAATCCATGCCATTCTTTGCCAACTCGTCTTGTGTTGGGTTCAAAGCGTAACCCCACAACTGTTTCTTTTGTGGCCTTGGCAGGATTTATTTCTATTCCTTGTGCTTTTCGTATTACCCCAGCCTCTAGTAGCTCATTTCATGGTAAACCCTGTTAAGTAGCTAGTGTCCTGCTTTTGTGAATAGTTGTGATTTGATATTAGAGTGGCGCAGCGGAAGTGTAGTAGGCCATGTCTGTTCATAGAAAGAGTTAGTGGAGCATTTGTTTTGCCTTAGATTGGGTGAAGCCATTCACCAGTCTAGATGGTCCTCAATTTGAGTTTTGGGGACAAAACTCCTTTTTAGGAGGGGTGGATGTAATACCCCAAAATTTTGTGCTATTTTAGCATTTAAGTAAGGGTTTTTGTGTGA